GGGGAGGGGGGGGGGGGGGGGTCCGAGGGAGCGGTTCCTCGCCGTCGCAAGTGTGCGGTGTCGTGCCACACCGCTTCCGGCGCTCGCCCATTCTCTAGGTTGACATCTGGGGGGTTGGCATCACTGCCATCGAGCTGATGTCGATGAAGCCGCCCTGGTCCTCCCTCTCCTCCGTCTTCGACATCATCCTCGCCATCGTAAACAACCCGCCGCCCGAGGCGGAGGGCTCGCCCGTGCTGCGCGACTTCGTGAGGTGCGCGCTCGTCAAGGACGCCGTCGCGCGCCCCTCGGCCGACGTGTTGCTCAAGCACAAACTCGTCGCCGGCGCGCGCAGCGACGCGCTTGCGGCCGTCGTCAAGAAGGGGGCGCCCAAGATTGGCGCGCTCTAGCCGCGCGAGGACCCGCGCGCCCACCGTGCAGGGTGTCGAAACGCTTCCCCCGCGCTATTGGAGCGGTGTCTAGTGTGTTGTGAGTGCGTACCGTGGCGCTGCAGCACTGCTCTGCGTCCGGTGCGCACGTGTGACGTGTGTGGCCACTTACTCATCCTCTCTCAGTGCGTGCTCGGTGCTGCGGTGACTCCTCGCGGTATTCCGCGATTATCAGACTCCAGCTATTATCCAAAATCGCTCGCGCGTCACAATACATGGAAGCCAGAGGAGCGAGCAGCTCAGCACCGCGCGCATTTCACACGCCTTACTGCTGCTCACACGTTACACGACCCCCGGCCAGAGCGACCGGACCACCCACGCACAGAAGCTGGCGTGCACACGCCCCGAGGCCGATGAGTCACAAACGTGCAATGAGTCAGTCGACCGAGTCCCTAGAGAATCCCCCCCCCCCCCCCCTGCCCGATCGCCACTGCGCACTGCGTCCTTTTTGCGCGCGGCTAGGCCGCCTCCGCCTTGGCCTTCGCGGCGGCCGCTGACGCGCGCCTCGCCTTGGCGGAAGCGACCGCCGCCTCGGCTGCCTCCGCTGCTGCCTCTGCCGCCGCTGCTGCTGCCGCTGCTGCACCTGCCGCTGCTGCCGCCTGCGCCGTCGCAACGGCCGCCTCCTCCTCCGCCGCGGCCGCCTCCTCCTCTGCCGCTGCCAGAGCGTCGGCCTCGGCTTCCGCCTCCCGGCGCGCCTCCGCTGCCACCAAGGCTGCCTCCTCACCCGCCTCCGCCGCCTCCTCCTCGCTCGCTTCGCCTGCCGCCTCGGCCTCCTCTCCCAACGCCTCCGCCAGCCCCTCGACCGACGTCTCCGCCGTGATGCCGTACCGAATCCGCTCCTCGTGGAGCGTCTCGAGAAGCCTGATCAACCCCTCCCTGTCCAGCATCGCGGGCTTGGCTGCAGCTGCCTCTGACGGCGCCTCGGCACCCTCTGATGGCGCCTCTGCACCCTCCACCGCCGCCTCGGACTCCTGCGACGGCCCAGCGCCGCCGCTCCCGCCGCCCTTCTTCTTCTTCTTGCCCTTCTTGCCCTTGGCGCGCTTCTCCGCCTCGACCTCCGCCAGCAGCTCCTCGGCATGCCGCGCCGCCTCCGCCTCCGCCACCGCCCTCTCCGCCGCCCCCGCAGCCCACGCCGCCTCCTTCGCCGCCTTCTCGGCCGCCGCCTTGGCCGCCGCATGCTCCTCGAGGGCGCGCACGCACTCGGCGCTGCCCACCTTGGCCCAGTGCAGCGCGGTATTGCCCTTCTTACAGCACAGCATCATATCTGCGCCCGCCCGCAGCAAGCGACGCACCACGGCGGGGCGTCTCCCGGCAGCGGCGGCCATCAGCGCGGTGCCGCCGTTGTTGTCCTGCAGGTTGATCTCTGCGCCGTGCCGGATCAGCATGTCGACAACCCCCTCGTGGCCCACGAAGGCGGCGTCCATCAGCGCAGAAGTGCCCTTGCTGTATGTCTGGTCGACCTCCGCGCCGTGCCGCAATGCCAGCTCGACCAGCTTCTTGTGGCCGTTCACAGCGGCGAGACCCAGCGCGGCGCCACCATCGCTCTTCTGCAACGAGACGTCCGCGCCGCGCCGCAGAAGCGCCTCGGCCAGCCCCGCGTGGCCATTGGTCATTGCGAGCATCAGCAGCGTCATGCCGCTCACACGAGAGCCGCAACCAAAGGTGTACTCGAACGTCTCGTCGACCCGCCCGCCACCGTCGAGCCACGCCAGCACCGTCGCCTCCTCGCCTCGCTCAGCCGCTTGCACGACCTCCTCAAGCACCGCCCCGCTGCTCGGCTCGGCCTCCGCGCCGCCCTCGCCGATCAACGCAGAGGCCGCGGCACTGGCGCCCGCCGCCGCCTCGCCTGCGGGTGCGCCGCCCGCCCCTGCGCCACCCGCCTCGACCGCCGCCGCCTTGC